ATAATATTATATGTAACACTTCCCTCTTTCCATGTTTATTTCATTCCCATGGCCATCCTGTAAATTATTATATTCCTCATTTGAAGATAAAGAAACAGGCTCAGAGAGGATAAGTGATTTGCCCAAAGTCACATGAGACAGAAACATAACTTGAAACCAAATTTATAATTAAAGCCTGGTATCTGGAAACAAAACATCACTCTGTGCACTGTTGTGTGTTGCAAGGATACTACTAAGAGTGTTGCAGAGAAGATCTGAAGCAAGTTTTTGGTATCAGTTTCATTGGTAAGTATTTGAAGTTGCAGCAAGTAAGGAATAACTAAACTTTTTGCAGATTGAGTATTGTTTTCTCAGGAGAACATATTGGTCAGAAATTTTTTAAAAACTGAAAGGAGCATGCAAATACAAGTGTCTGAAAATTAAGGTCATAAACTGTCAACATAAATACACAGGCAAAAAAAATTCTGGAAATATCTTTACCACTTTTCAAAATAATTTGACAATGTATCTAATGCAAAGTTTTCAAAACTCAAGTTTGACAGGGTTCTATCTATAGACATTTTGGATCTAAGAAATTTTAGGTGGCTTATTTTCCTATTTTCTGATTGTACGTTAAATTTCTTCCTTGTATATTTCTTCCTCAACACATCTGGTATACTGCATTTTTTTGCAAATGTAGTTTGTTACAATTACAATATGACATTTTTTTCAATGTAAGTTAAAAGTGTATAGAAAAAAATGGATAAATTCAAAATATAAGAATCAGGTATTATTTTAAATCAGCTTAATGGGGTGAAAGTGTATTTTTTTGCCCCTAATAAATAAATACTATTTACTTATTTCTATAGTCTTTTTGCAAAACTGAACTATCAGGTAAATATATGATACACATTTCATTCCACAAGTAAGAATCTAGGCAGCATTAAAGGATACAAATAAACACCCCATGCACCATGACCAAATATCAGAACTGGTCATCCTATGTACATATTTTAAAGTTAAAAAAAAAATGACCACATTATGGTCTTGATTTTTGCACTTCATAGTGTTGATATCAAAATTGTGTTTTGCTGTTGTTCTCTTGCCAGTGCACCTGCTGTGCTTAGAGCTGCCCTATAACACTGTCGGGACATCTGTATTACCTTCAGGTAACATAATAATAGTTATCCAGAGTAAAGAAGCATCATGCATTCATTATTAGTGTGATCTATGTTCAAGATCCATCTCTGAAGAAATCTCTCCAATTTCTATAAATATATGTATACATATTCATATATAATCTATATCTTCTACTTTTCTTTCCATTATAGACACATCTGAAGTTAGGCATTATTTAAAGAGCATTAACCTCTTTCTGTGTGCATTAGCAGATTCTAACAGTATACAAAGATATCTTGGCAATGTAAAATATAAAGTGTACCTTCTAAAGTGCTAATTTTTCCCCAGGGAGGAATTTACTCACTAGGAAAAATCAAACTCTACCAAAACAAATATTGTGCTCTTGGAATGGTAGCATAGACACCAGTTGAGGGCTTTTTTTTGTTTATTATAGCTCTGTAATTAAAACTGAAGGAATTATACCATACTTTAAAAATTGGTAGAGTTGCAAATACACAGACATACTCTTACATGGAAACTTTAAACATTTTGAAATTAAAAGAGAAACACTCCCCTCCCCTGAAAATAGGAATTTAGCAGGGAAATCTCACGTAGCATGGTTACCAACATCTGATGTGTAAATCTACTCTAGAATCATTCTCAACACAACTTCCTAATCAGATTTCAAAAGGATATACTAGCTTCAAAATCTGTATTCTACAAATGCCCAGAGTTAGAGATTAGGACTCTTTATAAGGGCCCTTATCTTTTACATTTGGTAAAATATTAAAGGTATTGTCAAACAGACAACTCATCTAATAGTCCAAAGTATCTTATAAAGATAACTTATGACTAGCAAGTCACCATCATATATAGTAACAACAAGAATATAAAGTCTACATTTAAAAAGATTGATGCATGCAGTGTATCATAGTATGTTACATATTTTCTAGTCATGTGCCTCAAACACAGCAACAAGTATGATATTACAACATATATGTGTATACAGCATAGTAGCATAACAATTCTAATCAAGAAAAATATTAGATAATTTAGGAACAATAAACTTCACAATAGAAGTGATGATTCTTTTAGCTTTTTCTTCACTTGTTAGGAAAAAAATACGACATTTTGTAAACATCTTCATAGCTATCTTTTTCACCATATTACTGAAAACTATTGTTCAAATAGTAAATATCTAATTGACATGGATAAAGCATGTCTTAACACACTAACACTTTCAGACAGAAACACGCATTTGTTAAAAGAAATAATTATTATAAATATTTTCTATCTTGTATTTTAACTACATTTTCATAAATAATGTATTTAAAAGTGCTGAATATAGTAGGATAGTCAGCAACGCCAGTGTAAACAGAAAGTTTTGTTTTCTACTCTGCAAATTTTTTTTTTTAAATCCCATTTTGTCAAACACTGCAACAGTTAAAATATTTGCATAGGGAATAGATAATAGCCCTTTTAATCATATCTCCTGAATTCTGTATAAGTTAGAAAATCAAATTCACTTAAAAAAGCAATTCTTGAAATGTTCTAAGTTTATGGAAAAAGAAAATTATGATGTCAACCTTTCAAGTAAAATAAATGTTAAAAAGAAAACCCCAAACTTGTTTTTTTTTAAAAAACTTTAATAAATTAAAAAAATGAGAGGTAGTTAAAAAAATGGCAAAGGAAACTTATAATTTTAATATCCTTAATATAAGGCCAGTATTCTTAGTGGATATAAATATGTTTAAAACTTTCATTTTAGGTTACTCAATATTTATTAAGTTTAAGATTAAAAAAATAGCCTCCAGGGGATGTTAATATTCAAATGTAACACCTTGATATAAATATGACACTGACTTTTGTGTGTGTGTGCGAGATAGGATACTGTTTTCTTGAATGTCAAAAGTACGTGCCAATGTCAGGCAAGTATTTTTTGTCTTAAAGATTTAGTAGTACATATAAAAAATAATACGGCAGCTAAAAGATTTGAGCACTGTACTGCCTTTCAATTATGGATCAGAATGGTTTGGTTTTAACATTTTTTAAATAAGTCATTTTTAAGATACTATGTGAAAACAGTTAAGGTCTGAAGTAGAGAATTATCTTCTAGAGAACCCCTATAAAACTTTCCTTGCTTAAAAACTTAGCTTTTCTTGGATTTCACTTTCAAGGAAAATATGCCACAGCACTGATGCTATTCATCAAAAGTTTTATGATGCTACATATAGGCATTCCTTTATTAAATCCTTTCTTTATATTCCAAAACTAAGTTATCAAGCTTATTATTATTATTATTATTTTTGCTAAAGTACATACTTTACACAACCATTTTAGAACTGGAGAGCCAGTCTTTAATAAATTAATTACAGTATTGGACATCTGATACATAGATTCATTTTCCTCTATTACAGTTAAAAACAATATCGCTCTTTGATTTGTCTTTGAGATAGAATATCTTCAAATTGTTTTGTGCTTTTTTTTTCTCTTTTCTTCATATATATATATATATATGAAGAAAACTCTTCCGTAATGAAAATGCCACAGTTTTGGCAGTGAACAACCAGAGGAATTCCCCATTAGGATTTTCCAACAAACAGAGATAAATAGCTCTTTTTTCATGTACAGAAATATTGGCTTCAAAATTAGTGTACTGAACACAGTATATAGCATGTTGAATATCATAGTTACAATTTAAAGATTGGCTTTTTCTGTCTTAGATTATATTTAAAAATGCAAACCACAGCCAACTTTTTGGCAATTATTTCTATAAGACCATATTGCACGAAAGTCCTTAAATACATATATAAGTTATGCCATTGGCTTAAATATTAACAACAACTACATGGCAAATGAAGCGGTTTTACTTTGCACATGCAGTCTCTGGATACACTAGGAGACTGTTCATAGGACTACAAATACAGTTTGCTTGCAAGTAGAATGCGTGTTGAACGAAACAAACTTAATTTGGCAATTCATTGTTTCAGGTGGTATTTTCTCCAAACGTAACCATGGATAACCTTGATACAAAATGGAGACAAAGACCATATGGTTGTATTTTCACAGTAGCCTGAGGAATGCTAAACTGTAGTTCTCCAGGAACTCAGTTTCAGGTGTTATTTAACTACTTTTATTTCTCATCCCAGCCCTCCAAAATGATTTTTTAAAAATAAAAATTAAGATTCAGAAGTAGAGCTGGCAGTACTTTCAACAAATGACTTATAAATCTGAGAGTTCAAAAACCTTGGGAAAGAATCTCTGTGCATTAAGGTATATATCTGAAGTTGGGCATCTTCATACATGTGAGCATTAGGATCCAACAGATTTCTGTTGATCACCTCTCTAACTCGAGAATCGAGGCTGACCTAAAAAGAAAGAAGAGCAGATACATTAATATTTTTTCAAAAGATCTCAACTAAGTAAGTATAGGTTCATGACATTTCAGAGGAACCTCACAGAATAACCCTAAAATCTTGATGTTAGGGGCTTCCCTGGTGGCACGGTGGTTGAGAGTCCGCCTGCCGATGCAGGGGACACGGGTTCGTGCCCCGGTCCGGGAAGATCCCACATGCCGCGGAGCAGCTGGGCCCGTGACCCATGGCCGCTGGGCCTGCGCGTCCGGAGCCTGTGCTCCGCGACGGGAGAGGCCACAACAGTGAGGCCTGCGTAACGCAAAACAACAACAACAAAAACACAAAATCTTGAGGTTATGTTTTCAAAGGTTACATAATAACCCTGCATACTTTTCTCCTTCAAAAGTTGAATTAAACAAACAAAAACCAACTTTTAAACCAGAATTTTAATTCAGATATCTTGGCTTACTTGGATGTATCTTTTCTACGCATTCACTCAGGAGTTTTTTTTTGACAATTTCTATTCATTGTTGCAGTGCTATAGAATTCCCTGGCCAGAATACAAATTGACGTCCTCCTGTTATGAGACTGCTGGGGTAACTCTCTTGATGGAACAAGGTAAAAATCTGGCAGAGAGTAGTTCTCTGTCAAAACTTAACATGTATATCAAGTGCTGATTCCCGATAGTTTCCAATCCCAGCAAGTCCTCCCGTGTCAGAAGGAGGACACCAGGAATGCGGAAGGGCTGAGTAGAGCAGAACGACAGCACACACTCTTCGGGTCTTCTAGCTACCTGGCATGGCATAGGACACTCTGTAGTCCTTACCTAGGAATACATCCAAAGGTCTCTGTACTAAAGATTAAGCAGAATATTTACTTGAAATTCAATCTCTGAAAGGAGAAATGTAAGTAGGAATTCAGAGTACCCATTAATCATACAGTGTTATTTGAAAAGTGTAAAGAAATTAAATTCTGCAAGTGATTCAATTTTGTCTTTTGTTTTCTTTTGATTTTTTCCTCCCTAAATGCTAATCTGGTTGGAACTGGTAGAGCATGTTGAAATGGGAAGGGGGGGAAATTAAATACCAATAAATGCACACTCTGGGAAAAGCACTAAGATCTGCTCTGAAATGACATGTTAGCAACACCCTCTAAGAGGCAAACCACCTCTGAGTCTTGACTGGTGTCCATAGTTCTCACTGTTGAACAGAGACTAGGGCATTGTGATCCACAGTTATTTGTCTCGTGACGTACTCAAGTCTATACAAACCTTTCATACTTATAGCTAAACGTTTTGTCACAAGCATTTTGCAAAAGCCTTTTTGGTTTCGGCTTCTTTTCCCACCCACTGTTCGGACTAAGCCTGGGATCTGAAACAGTCCCAATGACGGAAGCCACTCATATTCCATTTGGTGTTCCCCAGATGCCTGAGCTCAACAGCCCATGTGGTGTTGGGTTCCTTGATATACACCAGGGATGGCTGCTAGGGGAGGATGTGTCGGGAAATGGTGATCCAGACTAAATTTCTGTGGTTTAGCTAGACTAACTTATATATAGAAAAAAATTAAACGTTTCTTGGCTGAACTATATATTCTTCTCTCTAAATTCTAAAGAAAAAAAGAAAAGATGTTCTGGAAATGGATCGTTTACATTTTATTCTCTGTGTTACTGCCGTAAGAGGTCATCGTCAAGTACCAAGTAATAAAAAGTACAGAATTTTTATCTAAGCTTTTTATTTAAAAATATCATTTGTTTTTCCACTCAAAAGGAAGATATTGACATTGGAGTTTAAACTGATAAATCTTATTCTGAAATGTGGTGTTATGGTCAAGTGAATCTTAACAAACATATTCTATTATTTTTGTAAATGGTGCTCTTACTTTCAAACTTGGGAACGTTTTCTTTCATTGGAGAGAGAAACATTAGATTAGTGATAAAGAAAGAGGTCATTTATTTCTTAAATAATAGCATAATGCAATATATGCTATTTAACATATATGTTCCCTAACACATATATTTAACATATTTAACATGTGATAAACTGATAACAGTTTATCAGTAGCTGGAATAATATTAGTTATCTGAAGACAGAGAAATAAAATAATTTGAATTAGTAAATGTGTTGAGTCTTCATTGTATAATTAAAAAAATTTTTTGACTAATTAAAAACAGTAGTGAAATGCAGTACAGAAAGTAGTACCATTCAACATTTAGTAATCTGTAACAAAAACACATTTGCTATTTCCATTTGAAAAGTAAAATATTTTCCTAAATATCTGGTTGTTTGAAAAGGTTGTCTGTCAGTCAAAAGAAGTGTAGAGAGGTCAAACAACAAGGATAAACCCCAAGTTTCATCTTGTAGCATCTTTGTGCTTTGATTGTGGAACATCTATAATACAAGTTAGTGTGGGTGGATCCCAGCATGGGCCTGAGCCATTGTCACCCTAGGATTCACCCATGATTGGATGGCTTGGAAGGCCAGTGCATAGGACTGAGGAGTTTCCTGTAAAGAACTCATCCTAAGGGAAGAGAAAGTTGAGTAGCACAAGACAAGAGCTATCCTTGGGCAATGGAAATTCTTTTCTTGCTCAGTCGTCACAGACTCCTATTTAAGTGGGGTGAAGGGAGGGACGCAGTGCAGCAATAACAGTTAAAAAACGATCTACTACTGTGGGACAGGGCACAAGACGGCACTGATAGACTTGGCATTTAACTGGCAGTTTTAGCAGTGCTGGAAATGTTGGCAGTGTTGAGAGGTGGTAACTGAAGCTTTAAAAAGGCATAAGTGACTTTGTGACAGGACTCAATGAACTTGGAAGCATCCATTCCCACAGGGAGTAGGAGACAGGTAAGAAGAAAAGCACGTGGCTTGAAAACATAAAAATATGCACCAGCAACTCCACAAACTAATTGGGGGGAAAAGAAATGAAAGCTAAAGGTTCAACAAGAGTATGGGGGGTAAAGTGGGGAGGATGAAAACAAATCTTTCTAGTGTGGTTGGGAGAACCTGGGTCAAATTGAATTAAATATTATGCTTGATAGATTTCCTAGCAATGGAGCCAATTCATATAAAATAGGTCAGTATTGGCAAAAGGGAGCACACCAAGATTTGACCCTGTCTTCCTCTTCTAGTCATCATGGAAATTTTGTCTCTTTGGACATTTTTTCGGTGGAATTATACTGAAGATGATGAATTACCACTAAAAGTCTTTTACTCTCATAAAGACCCTCCTAAGTCAATTAATTCCTTGAACAATATTTTTTTACACATAATGATTTAATTTTTCTCCCATTTGTTCCACTTTATTTTTAATTTTACTGAAGCTGCTTTACTTAGGATTATTTTCTAAGTAAAATTCTGATTAATTTTTTTCTTTTTCTTTTATAAGTCCACGTTCAATTTTACCAATTATAGTTTTTGCCATTGGAAATGTTCTTTATAATTTTAACTAAATTAGGTCTTCTCATGTAAAATTTTACAGATCTGAAGGCTATCTGGTTTTCCTATCTGTTTTTTTTTTTTCCTTGCGTTATGCGGGCCTCTCACTGTTGTGGCCTCTCCCATTTGCGGAGCACAGGCTCCGGACGCACAGGCTCAGCGGCCATGGCTCACGGGCCCAGCCGCTCCGCGGCATGTGGGATCCTCCCGAAACGGGGCACGAACCCGCGTCTCCTGCATCGGCAGGCGGACTCTCAAGCACTGCGCCACCAGGGAAGCCCTCCTATCTGTTTTAATACACTTTTACCACGTGTGTTTTTAGTCATATTATTTTGTGTTGGTTATTTCTACTGAAAATAATTATAAATTACAAATAAGATTGATTATTGGAATGTGTTTCTTGGACCAAACATCTCTGGTAGGATAGGGTGGAGTAACCATATTTCTGATGGCTTACAAATGATGGGAAAGTTAATCTTGTTTCTGAAGGAGAGTTCAGACATGTGGTTAAGGTTACTAGTTCTTATCGTGTCTCAAGTTCAAGTTTGGGTTCATACAAATCCATAGTAGTATCATGAATAGAATACAATGGAATAACTAACTCATCAGCGTATTGTAGTTGGAAGAGCATCACACTTGGAATCAGAAGATCTTAGGGTTGTGTTCTCTCTCTACCAGATATAACTCTAATATCCTTGTTTTACTTCTTTGAAAATCAATTTCCTTTTCTATAAAATGGTACCATCTGTCCTAGAGGCTAAAGGATTCTTGTGAGACTTACACTGTAATAATATACATAAGACCATTCTGTCAACAACAAAGTTTAAGCCCAGTGTAAAGTAATAATAGTAATGATAATAATAATTGAGCATATGTATATTGACACCTCAAACCCAATGCCTTTAGACTTTGTATCAACTTGAATTTTACCTTCTCAGAGTGACCTTACCTGACTAAACCCTATTCTAACTACATCATTTGACCTCCACCCCCATCATAATGTTTATCACGATTTTTAGTTACTTGTTTTTGACATGGTTTGGTTGTCTTCCTAAAATGAAAGCTCCATAAGGTATAGGCCAATGTTCACCATCATATCCCTAACATCTAGCCCAGTACCTGGCTTGTAGGAAGCACTCAATAAATATTTTTTGGATGATAATATGCATGCACAAAGAAATGAATCTAGGAAAGTACAATCATGAGTCCTGTTTAGAAAAACTGATTTAAATTATTGAAAGTGCTAAATTCACATGATTTTGCACGAAGAAACATCTGTCTATGTGCACACATAGGACCCACATGTCTTTCACATATGCATTATGTTTAGATAATTCTGGTGTTTAAATAGGCTTTTTGCTTTTTTCTCCCTGATAGCAACTGGAAGTTTAGGGTGAAATCAGAAGAAGCAAACAGTTCCTACTACTATAAAAATTGTCATTCAGCAGAGCTTGAAAGTCATAGATTTAGTGGGGTTTTTTAGCTTTTTCCATGCCCGCATTCTACAGAACAAGGTATCTAAGGCTGCAGAGCACTGAAGTGAGTTTCTTAGTGTTAAACAGATGGTTAAGTGGTGGGGCTGGATTACAGCCCTGGTTAAGGACAATGCTGTCACTAGATACCTGAACACACATAGTTTTCTTCAATTCCAATAAGTCTTACAGTTGTTTCAGCGTTTATAGATATTTCTTTATTCAACAGCTCAATGCTGTTTAAGGTGGTCATAACTTTTAAGCAAACTTTTTATTAAAGTTCCTTATTTTGCTGGGTTTGTCTTTTCAATACTTAATATAAGTTACCACTGGCATCTGTGATGCATAGCAAGCCTACTATTAGTCTTAAATTCCTCTTTATTACGTCCATTTGTTTTCCCTTTGAGGACAAAAAAGAAAATTCACTTTTGAAAGAAATGTTATTTTTGTCTGATTGTTTTTTTTTAATTTAAAATTTGGTCATTTCCCCTCTTGAAATGCATGCTATGCCAAGAGTGGAAGTTATATTGCCTCCTGGTTGTAAACATCTATTTTATAACATAACGTCCAAATTATTAAAAATGCATATAACATGATCTTAAAACAAAGAAATGTAACATTCAGCACTCTGGCTTCATGAAGGAAATATGCTATGTATATATAATTTTTTTTTTTTTTTTTTTTTTTTTTGCGGTACGCGGGCCTCTCACTGTTGTGGCCGCTCCCGTTGCGGAGCACAGGCTCCGGACGCGCAGGCTCAGCGGCCATGGCTCACGGGCCCAGCCGCTCCGCGGAATGTGGGATCTTCCCGGACTGGGGCACAAACCCGCGTCCCCTGCATCGGCAGGCGGACTCCCAACCACTGCGCCACCGGGGAGGGGAAGCCCCCATGTTCTTATTCAGGAAATCATATTTTAATGACTTTTTGGTGAAACTCATGTTCAAAGTAAAGAAATTTGGTTAGAAGAAAACTCCATTACTTTTGCAAAATAATGAAAATCCAATAATTTATATTTCAGTAATCAATAACTATGATAGCTCTAAACTGTGGCCCAGAGAAGAAGTAATTTTGTGAAAATTAAGTATTTTACAAAGCTCCATCAATGAGTGACATCTGAAAATCAAGAGCTGTGAGAACAATGGGGAAGTGTTTCCTATAAAAACTTAAAATTAGAAAATGGAGACTGTAAAATAAAGGAATTGTATGTACTTAATATAGAGAGCACTTTTTCTACTAACATTATTTTAAAATGGGACAGTCATCCTTTTCAGAGGATACATAGTACAAAGGAATGGACTAGATAATTTAAACAATAATCATTTTCAAATGATACATGTTACATATTTGGGGGAGAGAAACGGGATAGATAATCTTCCCAAAGACTCTGTAATTATGTGTAGTTATGGACAAGAGAAGCACATCTTGGGGCACATTTGGATTATTTGATATATTTGCCATGTATTGCAATATTAAATAAAAATGAAGGTGAACTTAATATACTAATAAAAATTCAAGTTGAACTGGTTAGATGCTGAGGTTCTAGAGAGACCAGAAACCTGAGGAATGTAATTTTAGGATGCAGAATTTTAATGGCGTTAGAAATACAAAGCGGCATCAGTAATAAATGTATTGAGGCTATAGAAAAATTTCTCCCCACCTTGTTTCTATGAATACTTTTTCTATGTTAATGCAGGAAATAAAAAAAATAAGACAATCTTTTGTGTATCCAATTCAAGGTTTCTCATTTTGCAGAGACAGTGCTATTGGAGTACTCTGGAATACCAATGGCACGAACGGATACATCTTTAAAAAATTACTTAGGTATATCTGATTAGAAGTAAAGTAGCTTATATAGCATCCCAAGCACAGAGCTGATAGACCAGACGCGAACTCATCTTACAGATTTAAAGGTAAGGGCCGCACCAAACGCTGGAGGAAACAGATGCCTGTCTCTAGGGGATGTAATAAACGTCCGCGTGCAGGAGAGGGGTGTGGAGAATAAAGTCCGGAGGCAGACAGCACCAGGTCAGAACACTTAAATGCACAGGTAAAATCACAGGGGATTAAGAGAGACAGAAAAGACAGCAAGAGGGTGGCGCGCAGAAGAGAAGGCATTGTAGGAAATTCTAAGTTCAAATTCTGAAAAGCCCTGCTGGAACTCAGTCACTAGGCACTTCAGAGGCCAGGCGCACTCTCAGCCCCTCCCTCACCAAATGCTTGTTAACTGTGGTAGCGGGACCGTTTCTCAGGAGCAAACTGATTTTTAGAAAGCTAATGGAACGGTGTCAATATGGTTGCTTGAAAGGTTCCTTGTTTATCAGGTACGTTCTAGCAATGGGAAAAATAGCTTGCACTTATAATAACAGGAAAACCAGAACAAGTAAAATGATTGCCATTACACATCTCTCCCCCAAGAATATTAATGGGTCGTAAAGGGTCATACTTCAGTTCTGTAAAAATTCTATCATAAGCATCAACATGGCAGGGTTTCTTTTGTTTTTGTTTTTTTCCCCTATACCAGAGGTTTTCAAACTAGTATGTATGTGGAAAGCTTGTTAAAGGTATGGATTCCTGGGCTCTATTTCCCAAAATTCAGATTCAGAAGTCCTGGGTCAGCCTCGAGAATTTGCTTTTCAAACAAATGCTCCAGGTGATTCCTATACAGGTGATCTGGGGATCACACTTTGAGAGACACTGCCCCAAAGTAAGTTCTCCTTTTCCACTTTAAGTCACGGCAAATTGTATTACCAGGCTTCCTAATGGTAGTTCTGAAAAGCAAGTTGACTATCACATGATTCAGCTAGAGATAAATGATCAAAGCATACTGGGGAGACCTAACCTTGAAACACATGTTCAGGTAGATTCAGGTCGAATGGAATATAGATTATCTACCCAGACGAGCCTTCTAGCTTTTCCACACCCCATGCATTTGTTACTCAATTTGGACAGAAGTCCTTTTAGGTTCATCCTTGGTCTAAGAAGCTCACATCAATATTTTCCAGATTTTTACCTCTTTTGGTGAGAGTATAGAAATGTAATCTTCGTATATCATTCTGGCCTTTTCTTCAATTACTTTTTTATTCTGCTCCTTCTTTAAGTCTTCACAGGCAAGCCAGAAAAGTAGGTTCTCTTCACTGTATTCTGTTCGGAGGAACTCTCTGAAGAGGTTTCTTCCTGCCGGGGCCTTCATCATCTTGTCAAAATTTTGAGACCAGGACAAGACTTCATCTGAAGTGGGGTTTTGGCTGCAGAGACAGAATGGGGCCGTTATCAAAAGCAACTTTGGTGTCGGGATGGTGAGCTGCAGATAGAAATGCCATTCAATTGCTGCCATCTAGTGGTCATTGAGACTCGGTCCAGCCTGATCTGGCAAACATCTGCCAGGACTGGGCGAGATATTTCTGGGTCTTGACAAAAATTCGTGTAGGTACAAGCTATGTGTTAGGGAGTCAAGCATTCAGATAGCAGGCGGCTACACACACTATGCGTGTGGCCATCATAGATTCCTAATGAAGCTTGGGCATTTTTGAACCCAAACAATCTACTGCAAGCCTATGCATTACTTTGAAAGGCAAACTGAACTTTTTTGTTTGCATCTGATGTAGATTTTCATTTCCAAGCCATAAGATACAGTTTCTCTTTTCATCTCTGGTCGCTGTCTTTTCATTTTTCACTGAATCAAAATAAGAATACATTGTGTGCACTTGTCACATATTTTCCAAAACTTTAATAATTATTCTGGTAACTATTATGAGCAAATTGTTACCTATGAATGGAGTTATCACAGTTAAAAAGCACAGGACAATTATAATGACATCAGGGACTTTTTAGATATCTATATTCAGGTTTTCAGCGACTACTTTCCTGCAGGAAGCACCAGTTATTACTTCCTTTGCTTATACATCAAAGAAGTAAAGGAGAGAAGCTTGGAGATTCTTATGGTTAAATTGGTCCTGATTTTGCTTTGCCATTCATTCGTCTGTTTAATAATTTTCCAACCTAAAATACGCTTGGTCAAAAAATTCTTATATTTTATTTTTTCTTACCTTTTTGACCAAATATTTTATATAGATTTGCTATTATTCCAAAATGTCTGAACTTCCTCATTTGTTTAAAAAAAAGTGTAAAAGACAGAAAAATTACTATGAAGCATCAAAATTAAAACCTCATAAGAAGTAAAAAAAGAAAGCACATATCATTATACAAATAATCTGCTTGTATTTTAATTCTATTCTGTGGATACTGCATTTCAACTTCTCAGTTTGGAGAAAATACTTAATTAGAGTCCCTTCCAATGGAAATGGGACTGAGGAACAGCTGGGTGCCCTTTCTCACTGACTTAGGTAGTTCCGTATCTTTTGTGTGTGTGTTTTAGACTCTTCTATAAAGAGAATAACTTAAAAATATTCTTAGAAAAGGGATGTAGAGAACTAGGGCAGTTTGGGCGGGGGAGGTTAATTCATGTATCAATCGTTGTTTTTTGAAAGGGAAGGATAAACTCAAGCAATGTTTTAGCTGATAGTTTAACAGAGCTAATATTAAAAAAAGGGATAAAAAGCAGTTGCAATCACAAAATAAGATCTCCCAGACTAAGTATGCATTCATTTCACAAAACCATTTTGAGGAGTTACCGGGAAGCAAGAGATTATGTTTAAGCATTGGGTAGATGTACACAGTACATACATGCAAGACACAATTACAACGTGAATCACACTCACCATTCCTCTAGGACCTGGATACTCTCCATTTTTGTGGTATGTGTGGGTCTTCCTGCATTTTCCCCTCTTTCTTCATTCCTAACAGTGAGGCTGTAATGTAGTATAACACTTTATTTTGTCGAGGGAAAACCAATTATTTAAAGAAAAGAAAAAAATTCCAGGAAAATATTTCATGGAAGAATTTTATTTTCAACTATGTGAGAGTATTTAGAGTACAAAAAGAGCAATACCATTTTTTTTTTTTTTTTTTTTTTGCGGTACGCGGAGCCTCTCCCTGTTGTGACCTCTCCCGTTGCGGAGCACAGGCTCCTGACGCGCAGGCTCAGCGGCCATGGCTCACGGGCCCAGCCGCTCCGCGGCATGTGGGATCCTCCCGGACCGGGGCACAAACCCGCATCCCCTGCATCGGCAGGCGGACTCTCAACCACTGCGCCACCAGGGAAGCCCCGAGCAATACCATTTTTAAATGTTGGGTAAGCCCATGTCAACTAAAGGAAAGAGAATCATTATTTAATAAAATAAAGTAAATCATAACCTCAAAAAATGGATACTGTTATACATTCAGACTTCATCCATGCATAATTCAAATTACTTAAAATCTCCAAGATAACTTACATGATTATATGCTTTAATATTTGATATATATCATTACATTACTCCTAGTGTAATGCCATTTTGATTTTTGGTTAGTTCTATTCATAGTTTGTTTTCCATTGATTTTCCCCCATTGATTGCTAAAAAGATAAAGTGTATCAGAGTCTACAACAGAATTCGCTAAGTTCACATCACCCTCTTCTGCAGACCAGGTTTTCTGTCATCATTCCTCCATCCACTCAAGTTCGAGGGACAGGATTTATATTTGAGTTTTTCTTTGCCCTTTCATCCCTTTAAGTAGACCTCCAACATCTCAAGAGGGAAAAGCCAGTCACTCTGAGGGTTTGGGGTTTGGATATTAGAGCATTGAGTGGGAGGTGTCTCTGTGTCTCTGGGACATAAATTTGGGAATTCTACAGGATTACAGGAGCTAGGATAATCCTATGGGCTTTAGAAACCCAGAACAAGAATAAGAATTGTCTGATTCAGGTAAACAGTAGCTGAGCAGGGTCGTGGGGTGAAACATTCAGGGTTCTCGTGCAGACAACATGATAGGGGGGTTGAGGGCAGATATTAAGAAGCAGGGCGGGGAGGATAACTCAGTGGCCTTGGAAGAGCCAAGCTACTGAATTAGCAAATTGATCCCTCTGTCTAGAAGCCGAGAATCTTCATTAGAGCCTGTCAGAGAGCAAAAGAAGTTAGATGATGTCTCTTTCAGTTGTTCATTCATTATCTATTCAACAAAGGGAAATGGAAACTAGTACCTATTATGTGCCAGACGCTGTTCTTTTACTTTAATTTACTTTAATTTTACTATCCCCATTTTACAGATGAGCAAAGTGAGGCACATAAAGTGAGGTCTGGTAGGTTGGCCCAAAGGCAGGCACTAAATATGCGGTATGATTGGAATTTGAACCCAGTTCTCTTGAGCCACCCTGTAATTGTTATTATGAACCATGCTGTCTGATAGGCACTGAGGCAATAGAGTACTTATGTGAATGCAGAAAAGCGGCACCAAACATGGCTGGCTGTGGCTTAGTGCGAGAAAGCTTCCAACAATTAGCTATTATTGATCTGGAACATCCGGTAAGGGAAGAGGAGAGATGTCTCATTCATTCATTCATTCTCAGGTGCAAGGGTGAGGATGCAGAGAATGTAGCAAAGACGGGAAGGCAAAGGGGCCAATCTACAACTGAAAGTGGGACTAGATGGAAAATTTAGTTGCAGAATTGGACCACTGGAGAAAAGAGAACTCAATAGGAAGTGGAAAGGATTCTTCAGTCAGAAACAGGACACGTCAGTGAAAAAAACAAAATGTCAGAGGGAAGTAAATTAAGTTCTCCTCTACCAGTTTCTAGGGAACGTGGCAGATTTACTGGTGTAGAAAAGGGCCACCTTTGTGGTCTCACAAAGGTGGTATGGCCCAAGGAATTCTGGGAAGCAGAAACTACAGTTTGATTGCTACTCAAATGTCCAGAAGACTGAGGATTGCTCTGCATGGTAGTCAGCAATTCCAGACCCCTCTCAGCCTTCAGTGTGGGGAGCCGCGAGGAAGCAGCGAGGGGGGATTCAGAGAGCAGCACAACTGGTTGAGTCTCTGCCTGCCGAGCTGTGACTGTGTCTGCAGGTTAGGAATGTGTTGGAGGGCAGCATCATTAACTTCTCAAAGTGTCTTTGAGTAAGAGTGCCTCTCTGGAATTTGATGTATTTCCGGTAATTATGGGAAAGTGGGTGGGAGGGGATAGGAAGACACCATTGACAATATTCTGTGAAATTTCCTGGGAGAAACTAATGATGCCAAATGTATAAAATATGCAACTTGGGGGGTAAATCCTAGAAAGCTCACATTTAAATAGGAAATTCGTACTCATTCTGCCAAGCTTCACCAAGCTCATATGTGTGTGTGCACACATACTGAGGGACTATAAAAAGATTGGAAACTGAGCTTGCTTTGCTGATTAAATAATAAACTCCTTGAGAATTTGTTTCAGTTACATTTCCACACAGTATCCTATGGAGCGTGCCACACCAGTGCAGGTATCCTTATTTGAAAGACTTTAAAACACAACATCGTTGAAAAAATGTGTTCTCCATTGTGTCTTTGCTGTGGAGCAACAAGTCTGGAATCTACATACATGATTCACAAGTTTCTGAAGATGAATTCTGGCTCTTGTATCTGTTTCTGTGATATTTACAAACATCCCAAATGCCACCATATTAGAGTGATCATTATGAAATATTGGGTTGTGTTTATATCTTTGATTTCTACAGATGGTAAAATATGGACACACATTTGTACTAAAACTACTGATAACAGACATTCAGTAAGTGCCTAACTGTTCACCGTTTCCTCCATTTCTTGATCTAATATTGGACACAACATTGCCTGTAGAAAGAAACTGACCTTTAGCAATCGATGTGTCCTTTTTCATCAACTGTCCTTTAGGACTGTTCTTTAAAAATTGGTTTCAAAGTTTCCATTATCAAGAACCATTAAAATAATGCCATTTTAAGATGAAGAGAAATGGAGAAAATGATAGGAGACTTGGTGCTAGACTGTTTGCCATCTGTCTTAGGCATGACTAATGTCTGTCCCCAATTTTACTTGGTCCTGCTCTAAGTAATACAGTGGGTTCATTTAAGGTAATAAAATACAGGACATGTTTGCTCTGGATCAATGTATATATATATGTGCTGGAGAAAAGCTCTAAAAGGAAAACATCAAGCTTAACGTGAGGGGTCACGTAGAGATGTGTTCTTTTTCACTTTTACAATGCTTGTAATATTTTGAACTAACAATTCCACTTTTTAAACAACTAAAGCCATGAAGAGAACAGAATGCATGTACAAGGCTCACTGTGGGAGTCTTGATCAAAGCTGAAATATTTTATGGGAGAAAATGCCAATAGCCTATGCTAAGAATATTAAAATAAGCATATAAAATCTTATTAGAGATTGTCTCGAATAGTGACGTTGAGAAGAGAGAAATACATTTGGTGTACTTCAGAAAATAAGGAAATATGCCCTCTTTGTGTGTGCATGGATTTTTTGTTTGTTTACAGGGGAGTTTGGGCAGTGGGGTATGGAAAACATTACCTACTGCCCTTTAATGAGCTTACCTACTGGTTCATCATCATGGCTATGCATGGGGACTCTTTTGGAAGACAGTCTACTTTCAGTAAACAATTGGTTCTTAGGGAGAATCCTTGAAATGGTTGCAAATAAGATGAAAACTTTGCAGTAGCTATGGTAACTCTGGGGTAGAGGCTGATCACAAAACCGCATATCTTTACACAAACACTCAGCTGAGGAATTAATAAGATGCTTAAATTTAATACAGTATGACTGTATTATACTGTATTAAAGTATAGGCTCAAGAAAGAACCACTGTCATTGGTAAAGGCAATTCATTATTTTAATATTCTCACATTGTACTATCAGCTTTCCCTTTATATTTAACAATTCTACCTCAGATTTCCCAGTGCAAAAATGGAATCAACTTCCTTCAGGTTCTGAAAAAAATTGGTAAGTTATTCTTTAAATGTGTCATTTTTCTCAGTCAAAATACCATGGTAAAATAATACTACAGCTTTATTTAGGCGTCAACAACGATTTACAAATATGTATGAGACACCTGATTTATGCAACGGTGTCTGGGTTGGAAAGTCAAGATGAACAAGACAGAGGCTCTGAAACTGAGGAGCTCTGACAGCTAAATAGGCATCACGGAGCATTGCAATGAGAGTTGAAATAAATGTGTTTGCCAGATGGAGACCTAGACAAGGAGAATTCCAAGCAGAGGGGGTAAAATCATGTGTAGAGTTGTAAAACTGCATGATATCAATGCAGAGCAAAATGGACAAATCAGATGTTTCAGGATGGAAGCAATAAATTAGAATAGTCAGTGAGGTGTTGTTATGTAATGGGCCAAGAAAACAATGAAGTGGACTCCAAATCTCAAAGATATCTCCTTTATGACGATTTTGGTTTTCCAAGCTTTATTTTCCCCATTCATAATGGGGACAAAGGTAGTGACCTACTACACAAGGTTGAAAGCAAAGACTAAACACTAAACACTTGTGACAAAAAGGAAAATTATTACACATGCTTAATTCAGTGGAAGGGCAAATTGGTGGCATATTAAAATGACAAATTCCAAGTTTACCGAAGAGTTTTTTATTTCAACTAGAGGGAATAAAAACTTACACCGTGCTGTTATTATAAAACACTTCCACATACAACACCTTACCATTTCTTCCTCACAACAGTCCTGTAAGGTAAGCAGGGGCTTTGTTATTAACCATTCCCATCTGATTTAAGAAAAAGCAGTCACCGAGGTTGACTTACTCAATACCCACAACTAAAACATATCAGGCCCAGCAATGGAACTCACACCTTCCGACGTCTTATTTCATGCTCATTTTCGCTGTGCAATGCTTCTCTTGATATAGAAGAATTAATTGTGGTATTTTACCTTTTCAGGTATTTAGAGAAAT